AGCAACATGGTGAAACTCTGTCGCTACAAAAAGTTAGCCAGGCATAGTGGTGCACACCTGTGGTCCTAGCTACTTGGCAGGCTGAGGTGGGAGAATCACTTGAGCCTGGGAGGCCGAGCTTGCAGTGAGCAAAGATCACTCTACTGCACTCCAGCCTGAGTGACAGAGTGAGACTGTCTAAAAAAAAAAAAAGAATGCATTTAAAACACTTGGCACAGGACTAGGCACAGAATAAGTAATCTGTATTATTTCACCCTCAGCACTCTTTTCTGCTAAGCCCTGGCTTCAGAACCCTTCTCAACACAGGCTTCTAAGTATCTATGATCAGGTGGCTGTCTCTGAGATAAAACAAATCTGCTATTCCTAGTCTAGAATATGAGTCCACTGTTTACTACTTTATGGCTTTTTCCCCACTACACTTGCCACCACTCACTTTACATGCCTAAAAAAATCCAGAGGTAGTCAGATATCCAGACTAAACTTCAATCACATATTCCTTGATCCCTCAGTAAGATATTGGCTTGGACCAAAAATCTCTAGAGAAGAAAATCCCTGGCAACAAGGTATATTTACTAAATGTCTATAGGGAGAGAACCACAGGTGAAAGAACAAACAAAAACCCAGTGATTACTGCTTGAAGAAGCAAGGGATGGGAACTTCCACAGTCTGCCCGCTGGGGGTTTACCAACTTATCTGGGAAAAGGAGATGTAACACTGACTGCCACTTCCTCCTTGATGTACCTAACGCACTCCCCTCACTATCACAGTATCTGTGACATATTTTGCATGTACTTATCACTCTTTCTCTACTCATACCAGTCTGTGAACTCTCTGAGGGCAATTATCACACTTTATCCATCTTGGTATTATCAGGCACACCAAAGTGCCTGGCACACAAATGTTTCAGAAGTTTGAGGACTAAGTTGAGAAATGAGGGAACAAACTTAAACAGAGAAAACAATAAAAGGCAAGAGGAAAAGGTATCAGTGTAGATCAGAATAGTCCAAGAAGCCAAGGGAGCTAGAACTTTAAGGGGCAGGTGGAATTTCAAAAGGCAATAAGGGAAAAGAAAGGTATTCTAGGCAGACTGGACAGCACCAACAAAGCCTGGCAGTAATTAGAAACAGTACATAGAGTGCTACAGCCAGAAAGAGCTAGAGACGATTTCATCCAATAATTCAATTCTCATGGGGATGTCATAAACATTTAATAAAAAAGCATATACCATTAGGCAGAAGAGCTGGCATATCACAAACATCCACTAAATGGTAGCTATCATACTACTAATCAAAAATAATGATTATCAAATACTTATTGGGTGCCTACTGTATGCCAGGAACATACTGAGTGAAGAGAATACAATGGTGAGCAAGATACACTTGGACTCTGCTCTCTCACGAAGCTTACAGTCTAGTGGGGAAGGCAGACAATTTTATAATGGTTGGTGGGGCTGGCCTAGGCAAAGTACAAGTAGGCTGAAGGAACATAAAGTGGGGTCACCCAGGCTGGGCGCGGGGGCTCACACCTGTAATCTCAGCACTTTGGGAGGCCGAGGTGGGTGGATCACGAGGTCAGGAGATCAAGACCATCCTGGCTAACACGGTGAAACCCCGTCTCTACTAAAAATACAAAAAATTAGCTGGGCGTGGTGGCGGGCACCTGTAGTCCCAGCTGCTAGGAAGGCTGAGGCAGGAGAATGGCGTGAACCCGGGAGGCGGAGCTTGCAGTGAGCCGAGATTGCGCCACCGCACTCCAACCTGGGCGACAGAGCAAGACTCCATCTCAAAAAAATAAAAAAATTTTTTTAAAAATTTAAAAAGTGGGGTCACCCAATCAGTGGACTATAACAGAAAAATCCTTGGTTTTCAAAGGGTGGCTTCAAGCACCTTAGGGGTTCTGTTGAATCCATTCAAGGACCACAAGGCTTCAGAGTGAGATTTTGTTTGAATAAAAGGATTCATGACTAAATAAAGTTTTAAAAACCACCAATCTAGGCCGGGTGCGGGGGCTCACGCCTGTAATCCCAGCACTTTGGGAGGCCGAGACGGGTGGATCACGAGGTCAGGAGATAGAGACCATCCTGGCTAATATGGTGAAACCCCGTCTCTACTAAAAAATACAAAAAAACTAGCCGGGCGAGGTAGCAGGCGCCTGTAGTCCCAGCTACTCGGGAGGCTGAGGCAGGAGAATGGCGTGAACCCGGGAGGCGGAGCTTGCAGTGAGCTGAGATCCAGCCACTGCACTCCAGCCTGGGCGACAGAGCAAGACTCCGTCTCAAAAAAAAAAAAAAAAAACACCAATCTAGTCCAATCTCCTCTTTTAACAAGAGTAAAACAGGGCCAAAGAGAGATAAATTATTCACCTGAGGCAATAATATTAATACCTCAAGTTAGCTGCAGGCTGGGATACCTGCTTTGAACTCTGGCTTGAGCTGGAAACTCCTCACTGAATCTGCATGATTTCATATCATTTTGGTAGATAAATAGGACTTGGGAGTGGACACATCCAGATTCACAGTCACTAGCCAGGCAATGCCCTGGCTGGCCCTATTGGGTATTGAAGTGCTTTTCTACCTTAATTCCCAAGTTAGCTTTCTGTGCCCAAAGGGTGCATCTAATTCCTTTCAGAGGTTGGTTAGCCTCCCCTTTGAGGAGGAAATCACTAGCTCCAGGAGTAGACTGACACAGTGGCTCACACCTGTAATCTGAGCACATCTGGGAGGCCGAGGTGGGCGGATCACCTGAGGTTGGGAGTTCAAGGCCAGCCTGACCAACATGGAAAAACCCTGTCCCTACTAAAAATACAAAAAATTAGCCGGGCATGGTGGTGCATGCCTGTAATTCCAGCTACTGAGGAGGCTGAGGCAGGAGAATCGTTTGAACCCAGAAGGCAGAGGTTGTGGTGAGCCAAGATTGCACCACTGCACTCCAGCCTGGGCAACAAGAGCAAAACTCCATCTCAAATGAAAAGAAAAGAAAAGAAAGAAAATGTTATTTTCTCCTCTGCCAAAACTGCTCTTTATCTCAATGAACCCTGACATACACAACTAAAGCTTTGAGATATACGTAATTGTCTCAAGGGAGAGCCCATGACTAACAAACCATAAATAAGAACTTCAATGCAGTATCTACCCTTTCCAAAGTGTCTTCAAATATATCTCATTGAACCACAGCCAACTGTAATCATAGAAATGTAAAAGCCAGAAGGGGTCTTAGAGGTCATTTCCACAACCACTTCACCTAACCAACCAACCGATATCCAAACACCTATAGTCTCTAGTGATTGGGAGGCAGAAGACTACAACACTTCTTTAAAAATTCCCCTGCTGTGATCACCTGCCAATTTCTCAGTCCCTTCCTCCCATCTTAATGATCTCAATCAGGTAACCCAACTCCAACTCATCCCACTACCAGACAAGTCTTAGTGCTTCCCAAGTCCACTTCTCCCTTTCTCTGAACCTCATCTTCAATCATCCCCAATCCTCCCCACTCTTCCCACACCCAACACACAGCAAGGGGCCTCTAAGATTCTGATCCCTCAGAGATCTCCCTGGTTCTATCTCTGACAACCAATCCCCCTCCTCCTACTCCTGTGATGTCTCTGTCCATATGCTGGCATGTGCAGGATCACAAACACCACTAGATCTCAATGCCTCTGGCTTCAGAATCTTTTCATTTTCCTTTTTCACCTCTCTCTCTGCTTCTCTGCCCTGTCCCTTCACTCCTTTCACACTCAACATCTCCTTTCTCCTAGTGATTCCTTCAAGGACCACCGGTAATTTAATATCCCAGTCTTTAAATGCCTATTAGACAGGTAAAGGGAACATACAATCTCAAGGAGCTCACCTTCAAGGAACTCATAAGTCTAGAGGGAGAGAGAGAGACACTTATTTATCGTTTAAAACTCAGCAACTCCGGGAAGCCTTCCCTATCCCAAGCTGAACTGTTACACACTTCTCAGTGCCACCATTATATCTTTAATGCAATGACTATTCTTGTCTGTCTCCCACCACTAGATTGTGGGCTCTTCAACAGAGGAGCCCCTTGTCTCCCTAGCACCTGGCCCAGGATCCGGAGCAAAAGTCATAATGTTTATTAAGTGAATAAATGTATGAACTCCGGCATACAATCATTTATTCATCCACTTGTTCCTTCATTCGTTGACGAAAACTTTACTGAGCGTACATTAGATACAAAGTCTTAGAATGTAAGGATAAACAAAACATATCCAACTTTAAGATAACTCAAAGCTATACTACTAGTGGATTAGCACTCTTTCCAGGTCTGTGTCCCCAACCCCCATCCTAGGCTTAGACAGAGTCCTCTCCCACAGAGGAAGCCCTTGAAGAAATTCACGCCTCTCCAACTCAAACTACCTCTTAGCCCTTCGGTCCTACCCTAAGACCCCCAGCTAGTAATCACAAAATCTTAACACCCCCACCCCTCCGACCTCTCTCTCTGTCCTCCATCTCCAACCTTGAAGCTAATGCAAGTCTTCTACTCCCAAGGCCGCCTCGGAGTCCCCAAGTCAGGAGTGCCTCTGACTTCCCTCTCCACGCACCCGCCCCCTAGTCAGCTCCTTCCCTCTCAGGATCTTTCCCGTCTCTCCTAAGACCCCCACCTCCCGATACCTCACTGCCCCTCCCCTCAGTCTCAGGCTGAGTCTCTCCTCGTCTCTCAACTCCGCTTACCTCATCCAGCTCCCGTTCCCCAGCAGCACCACCTCCAACCTCCACCTCCACCACTGCCGCCATCTTCACGGCTCGCCCCCTCACCGCAGTCCCCGCGCGAGCCAGCTGCTTCCGCCGTTCAAGTGCTCCTAGCCAATCGGCGGCTCGGACTCCAGCAGAGGGGCCGGGGCATCAAAACAGGCGGAGACTGTCAGGCATCAGGAGGTTATCTACCTGATGCACGTTTCAGGATCAAGGAGAGAGGAGTCCCGTGCCCTTCCAAGCTTCAGGAAGGGAGCGTTCTTGGAAAATGAGAAATTTGAATCGCATTATTTTCAGTGGAACTATTTAACCAATTCTTCCCTTTGCAGAGCCAAATGGGAGAGTTCCTAAACGGGCAACTTTCGCGACGCTCCCTCAGTGTGGCCTCCAAGGAGCGAGACGTGGGGACTAGGAACTACGTTTCCCAAACTGCACTGAGGCTGACCCGGAAGTTTAAATTCCGCTCCCTCCACGAGAAAGAGTTGTAGTGCGTGAAAATAAACATTAAAACACACGCAAATGTATTTTCCTGGCTGCAGCACCTGCCGTCTTGCCTCGGTAGGAGTCATTTTCAAAAACAGCAGCTTCTTGAGGCCCAGAACGCATTCCTGTGCTACGGAAAGCGGAAGAGAAGCTCTCGGGGTCAGAAGGCGAAGGTTAGAGGGCCGAATTGGCGGGAGAATAGGTTGGTGGTCCACGATCTGAGGCAACGGTGGCTCCGCGAGGTCCACGGTCCCGGGTGAGGGGCTTTGGGATTTGTTGATGGGGAGGGGAGTGGCCGAGAGGGAGGAGGGGTGGCCATCAAGGAAATGAACAGAGCAGCCTGTTCCCGATGAACAGTGAAAGCAGAGGTACGGCTTGAGCTCCAGAAACTGAGAGCTTAAGAGCCTTGCGGGACCTCCACGGCCCCCACATTCCGCGTCTTAGTTAGGCTGTCATGCCAATTCATACATCTCTGCACACTTTTCTAACCCACATCCTGCGGCCCCCGCTTCTGCCGTACCCTCGTTTTTGTACATCATACTGCCCCACCCCTACGTATGCCTTCGTAACTGATTTTTCAGCAGCATGTGAACTCGATACCTTGCAAGCCTGTAGCCCCAGTGCACACGCCTCTGGGCGTCCGCCTGGATCTGTCTGGTGAATGGAACTAGGATGGCTTGTGAGTCCACAGAACGTCTAGAAAAGTCAGCTTTAGGCCGGGCGCGGTGGCTCAAGCCTGTAATCCCAGCACTTTGGGAGGCCGAGACGGGTGGATCACGAGGTCAGGAGATCGAGACCATCCTGGCTAACACGGTGAAACCCCGTCTCTACTAAGAAATACAAAAAACTAGCCGGGCGAGGTGGTGGGCGCCTGTAGTCCCAGCTACTCGGGAGGCTGAGGCAGGAGAATGGCGTGAACCCGGGAGGCGGAGCTTGCAGTGAGCTGAGATCGGGCCACTGCACTCCAGCCTGGGCTACAGAGCGAGACTCCGTCTCAAAAAAAAAAAAAGAAAAAAAGTCAGCTTTATATTGGGACCAACAGAAAATTACAGGGAATTATTTACATCATCTACAGGCATCTCATGTATTTAGATAAAAATAATTATTTTCATTTTGTGAAACTTAATACGGAGAATGTTATAAACACTGTACACCCATCACCCTAAATTGACTATTGGCCTTATGATTTATTTGCTTACTCATTTTTTAAAAGCTAGGTAATACAATAAAAGTTAAACTTACCTGTTTTTTCTACTCTCAAGCCCATTACCCTCTCATCTTCTCCAGAAGCAACTATTATGGATTAGAATTAGCTTGTGTTCTCCCAATCCATTTTTAAAAATTATACGTAGCCATGACTATACAGTATTGTATTGTGTTTCATTTTGTTTTTTAATCCAAGTGCTTTTTTTTTTCTTTGAGATGGTGTCTTGCTCTGTTACCAAGGCTGGAATGCAGTGGTTCAATCTGGGCTCCCTGCAGCCTCCGCCTCCTGGGTTCAGATGATTCTCGTCTCCCGAGTAACTGGGACTACGGACACACCACCACGCCCAGATAATTTTTGTATTTTTAGTAGACACGGGGTTTCGCCATATTGGCCATGGTCTCGAACTCCTGACCTCAAGTGATCCACCTGCCTCGGACTCCCAAAGTGCTGGGATTACAGGTGTGAACCACTGTGCCCAACCTGAGTGATACAGGGTCTGGCTCTGTCACCCAGGTGGACTGCAGTGGCGTGATAACTGCTCACTGTAGCCTCCATCTCCCAGGCTCAAGCAATTCTCCCACCTCAGCCTTCTGAGTACCTGGGACTATAGGCATGTGCCACCACACCTGGCTAATATTTTAAATATTTTGTAGAGATCGGGTCCCACTATGTTGCTGGTCTTGAACTCCTGGGTTCAAGCAATCCTCCTGAGCCTCTGCCTCCCAAAGTGATGAGATTACAGGTGTGAGCCACTGTACCCAGCCTTTTAGGTATAATTATTTGTCTTTATTTTATTTTGTTTTATTTTATTTCATTTTTTGAGACAGAATCTCACATTGTCACCCACGCTGGAATGCAGAGGGATGATCTTGGCTCACTGCAACCTTTGCCTCCCAGGTTCAAGCAATTCTCCTGCTTCAGCCTCCCTAGTAGCTGGGATTACAAGGATGTGCCACCACACCCAGCTAATTTTTGTATTTTGAGTAGAAATAGGGTTTCACCGTGTTGGCCAGGCTGGTGTCAAACTCCTGACCTCAAGTGATCCACCCACCTCGACCTCCCAAAATGCTGGGATTACAGGTGTGAGCCACCATGCCCAGCCTAGGTATAATTTTTTAAATATGTTGTGAGGTAGGGATCTACTTTTATTTTTCTTCTCATTGTCAACCAATTTCCTGAGCATCATTTATTACTTTATTGCTTCTGACAGAATCATGATGCTGCTCTGAAGTGTGGGAGATCATGAACATGACAAAAATCCACATCCTCAAAGAGCTTACTACTTAGTAAGGAGGCACACAGGGTAAACAAGTAATTACCAAAAAATGGCAGCAACAGTTTTTGTAAGGGAAGGAGTTCTCAAAGAACTTAATCTTGTGAGAACTACAAGCAGTTTGATTGTCAGAATTGCCAAACCAAGAGTGTTTATTTATTTATGTATTTATTTATTTTTGAGATAGGGTTTCACTGTCTCCTAGGCTGGAGTGTAATGGTGCGATCTCAGCTCACTGTAACCTCTGCCTCCCAAGCTCAAGCAATCCTCCTGCCTCGGTCTCCTGAGTAGCTTGGGCTCCAGGCACACACCACCACATCTGGCTAATTTTTTTTTTTTTTTTGTAGAGATGGGATTTTGCCATGTTGTCCAGGCTGATCTTGAACTCCTGGGCTTAAGATATCCACCGTCCTCAGCTTCTCAATGTGCGGGGATTACAGGCGTGAGCCACCATGCCTGGCCTGAGTGTTCATTGACGATGAGAGATGGTGGAGTTTTTCGCATCAAATCACAAAAATATACTGTGAGTTTCTTCAAAACAGAGGCTATATCTTACTTATTTTTATTATTTTTATATCTCCAAAATCTAGCAGAAAGAAGGAAAGATATTTGTGTGCCCAGTGAGTTCCCATAGTGGGAATAGTGAGCTTTAATTAATCTGAGCCCTAGAGAGGAGACTCAGGACTCATTTTTCATTCTTCTGTCTTTGAAGCCTTAGCCCCATATTGGCTGTGGCCTGTGAGGAGTGCTTGATGTTTGGATGGCATTCACTAAGAGTTTGTTACTGCTATTGCTACAATCTACCCCACTTTGAATCCTTTATGACTGAGAGCCCTTTGGAGCACAATTTTTATGGTCATTCATTCAACAGACATTTGCAAATCAGGAACTATATTCTCCCTTTTACATTGGGTACACAGAAATGAATCAGACATGAAACCTGTCCCCCAAGAGCTTACAATTTGTCAAGGGACAAAGAAGACATATCCCATATAATTGTAATATGAGGCACTCTATTAAAGGCTAAGTGAGGATTGACAGGATGGAGCTGTCACCTTAAGCTGTTTCAGCAGAGGAGAGGTGACATTTGAGCACCAAAGATGCATTAGATTTGGTAAATGGGAAAGAGAACATTCCAATCATAGGCAATGGCATGAGCAAAATCTTGGAGAAAAGGGAAAAAAACTTTTGGTGGGGAGGGTAAGCAAAAAGACCATTATGGCCAGGCATATATCAAGAGTCATGGACTCATATTTTCAGGAGCCAGATGGGTAATAAACATGAATAAAATATACAGGGTTAAATATTTGAAGATATTCCACCTAAAGACATTCAGACAACTTTAAAACTCCTCTCAGCAAGGAATTGTTGAAGCAAGGTGATGGATGCATGAGTTCATTATACTAATATGTGTGTTTTTGCATATATTTAAAAATTTACCTAAAATGTTTAGCAAAACACGAAGTACAAATACCCATGTGAACTTTTTTTTTTAGAGTTAGGGTCTCACTCTGTCACCCAGGCTGGAATACAGTGGCACCATCATGGCTCACTGCAGCCTCCAACTCCTGGGCTCAAGTGATCTTCCTGCCTCAGTCTCCTGAGTAGTTAGGAATACAGGCACATGTCACCACACCCAGCTTACCAAGGGTTTTGCATAAATCAGCAAGTCTTTGAAGATGTCTAGTAGAGGAATAACTTCATGAAAAGCTAAATGTAGGAAGATTCATTTTAGGAGAAGAAGAAAAAAAGTTGTGTCATATATTTTGTTGAACATTTGTTGCCTATCCTTACCATGTACTAGGCTCTAGTGATATAAAGGTGTATAATTTAAGGCACAATTCATGCCCTTGAGAGCTCACGTATATACAAATCCGACATTAACATCTTAATATATTATTTTGCACTTGCTGCTGTGTTGCCTTCTGGTTGCATTCGAGTTATTTTGTGTTTTTTGGAGCCTCATCAGCTGATCCAAACCTACTCCCTGCCACCACTCCCACCAGGCCCATGTTGGTCATGGACTAACTCGGCCGGGTGCAGTGGCTCACACCTGTAATCCCAACACTTCGGGAGGCCGAGGCTGGTGGATCACGAGGTCAGGAAATCGAGACCATCCTGGCTAACACAGTGAAACTCCGTCTCTACTTAAAATATAAAAAATTAGCCGGGCGTGGTGGCATGTGCCTGTAATACTGGCTACTTGAGAGGCTGAGGCAGGAGAATGGCATAAACCTGGGAGGCAAAGCTTGCAGTGAGCCAAGATCGCACCACTGCACTCCAGCCTGGGTGACAGAGTGAGACTCTGTCCCAAAAAAAAAAAATAAAGAAAGAAATGAACTGACTGCTGCAAATAACTCCTGTTATCACAGGCACAGCTAGTTTGTTTTTCTTCTGTTCTCTTTTTCAGGAGTGATAAGAGGATTCTTGCTTTTCTGGAAGCTAACACATAGTCAGTGCCAAAGTAGTGACAGAAGAAATCTTGGGAGGAAGCATTTTTGCCTTGTACTTGAAACAGCTGCTGGGCCACCATGGCTCCTGTGAAGATCAGCCATGTGGTATCATTTTCTTCTCAGGTATATTAATCAGCAGGCATGATTTGTTTTTTTGATAACTGAAAGGAGTGAAAAAACAGGAGTCTTGGCTCCACTTTCAGGAAACTCCCAATCTAACAGAAGAGACATTGTGCGTTCAGAGTCTAAGAGAAGAAACAGCTCTTGCCCTCAGGTTGTTCCCACAGAAGTGCAGGAAGCGCAAAAGAAGTATTCTCAGAAGTTGAAAGTACACAAAGCAGCACCCTCAGGATTCCAGCCAGTTTGAAGGGCGCTGGCAAAGCTGTAAGACCAGAAACTGCACCAGGATCCTCAGAAGGGGAGTTCGATCATTCTATCATTGAGAACAGGGCAGGGCACTTGAGGTAATCCCAGACTTGTGAGGATATCACCACCACCATCAAGTGTGATCTCAGCCTCCTTCCTGAAAGTTCTACAATATCCCAATTAGGGCTAGATTCTAGGCCCTGAGACCAGGCCTGATCTGATGTGGTGATTCTTAGGGACTTCCCACCCTTTCCTCTCCTGTCACTGCTCTATTTACTCCTACTCGCCCTCTTCCTCTTCTGTTATCCTGGTCTTTCTCAAGGGGTGCCATTGGCATTTGGGGCCATAAGTCTGTATTTTGTAGCAATATCTTTTGCATGATGAGATATTTAGCATCCCTGGCCCCCAGGCATCTTAGTCATTGTGACAGTCAAAAACATCCCCACACATTTCAGGGAGATCCTTAGACCAGGCATGGGACTCATGCCTGTAATTCCAGCACTTTGGGAGCGTAGGGCAGGAGGATCTCTTGAGCCCAAGACTTCAAGACCAGCCTGAGCAACACAGGGAGATCCCATTTCCACAAAAAATTAAAAATTAGCCCTGTGTGAGAGCATGTGCCTGTGGACCCGGCTACTCAGGAAGCCATGGTGGGAGAATTACTTGAGCCCAGGAGGTTGAGGCTAATAGTGAGCCATGATTGTGCCACTGCACTCCTGCCTGGGTGACAGAGCAAGACCTTGTATCAAAAAAAAAGAAAAAGAAAAGACCCTTAGAGGATCTTTAGGAACTAATATATTAACCCCTATTCTAAGAAAAATAGTATTACACTTACCCTCCTTACCTGCATGGTCAGGCTAAACAATTTGCTTCATAGACTTTTTATTTTTTTTAGATGGAATCTCGCTCCGTTGCCCAGGCTGGACTGCAGTGGTGTGATCTTGGCTCTTCACAACCTCTGCCTCCTGAGTTCAAGTGATTCTCCTGCCTCAGTCTCCTGAGTAGCTGGGACTATAGGCACATGCCACCATGCCCAGCTAATTTTTGTATTTTTAGTAGAGATAGGGTTTCACTATGTTGGCCAGGCTGGTCTCAAACTCCTGACCTCATGATCTTCCTGCCTTGGCCTCCCAGAGTGCTGAGATTACAGGCGTGAGCCACCACGCCCGACTGCTTCATAGACTCTGAGCCTTATAAAATGCTAGAGAACATTAGCTAGTTTCAAACTTCGTGTTTTCAGCTGTACTCTGTAGAGAGACCCACTTCTGGAAGTTGAAAGGGAGAAGGGGACAAGTATGTCCTTGGTCCTCCCTACCTGTGCTCTAACCAGAGCTCTCCTTTTATTTATCAAAAAAACATGCACATGTGCGCGTGCACACACACACACACACACCAGTGTAAGATTTCAGTTAAAAGGGTTTTATTGCTAAAACAAAAAAGGTTGAAAACCTTGAGTCTGGTCTCTCTCTTTCACTTATGGATGAACACATTTAGATTACAGGGCTCATACCTGTAATCCCAACACTTTGGGAGGTTGAGGTGGAAGGATAGCTTGAGGCCGGGGTTGGAGACCAACCTGAGCAATGTAACAAGATCCCATCTCTACAAAAAAATTTTAAATAGCCAGGTGCGGTGGCTCACAGCTGTAATCCCAGCACTTTGGGAGGCTGAGGTGAGCAGATTGCTTGAGCCCAGGAGTTCAAGACCAGCCTGGGAAACATGGTGAAGCCCCATCTCTACAAAAAATACAAAAGTTAGTCCGGTGTGGTGGCATGCACCTGTAGCCCACCTCCTCAGGAGACTGAGGTGGGAGGTTCCTAAGCCTGGGAAGTTAAGGCTACAGTGAGCTGCGATTGTGCTACTGCACTGTACCCTGGGCAATGAGCAAGACCCTGTCTCAATTAAAAATACAAATTAACTAGGTGCAGTGGCATACACCTGTAGTCCCAGCTACTCACTTAGGAGGCAGAGGCAGGGGGATCACTCAAGTGATCTTTGCAGGGATTTGAGGCTGCAGCGAGCCATGATTGTATCACTGTACTCCACCCTGGGCAAGACCCTGTCTCTAAAAAAAAAAAAAAAAAAAAAAAGAAGAAGAAATTTGTGTGTTTGTTTGTTTGATATAGGGTCTCACTCTGTCGCCCAGGCTGGAGTACAGTGGCCCAGTCTTGGCTGACTGCAACTTCCGCCTCCCAGGCTCAAGCGATTCTCCTGCCTTGGCCCCCAAGTAGCTGGGATTATAGAAGGAAAGAAATTTAGACCCAGAGAGAGAAAGTAGTTTACTCAAGATCTGTCAACCAAAAAATACCTGACTTTAGGTTAGAACTCATAATTTATATCTCAATATCATTATTATTGATTTTGATTAATCACTTTATATCTAAGCATCAGTTATAAACTTAGAATAAAAATATTTGACTTTCTTATCCCACAGAATAACTATAAAGATAAATAAATGTCCTTGAAAACATCTTGGCTGGGCTCGGTGGCTCACGCCTGTAATCCCAGCACTTTGGGAGGCCGAGGTGGGCAGATCACCTGAGGTCGGGAGTTCGAGACCAGCCTGACCAACATGGAGAAACCCCATCTCTACTAAAAATACAAAATTAGCCAGGGGTGGTGGTACATGCCTGTAATCGCAGCTACTCGGGAGGCTGAAGCGGGAGAATTGCTTGAACCCGGGAGGCAGAGGTTGCAGTGAGCAGAGATCACGCCATTGCACTCCAGCCTAGGCAACAAGAGCAAAATTCCATCTCAAAAAAAAAAAAAAAATCTTATAAATGAAATAGCGTATCATGGTGGTTAAGAGCTCTGCTTTTAGGCCGGGCGCGGTGTCTCACACCCGTAATCCCAGCACTTTCGGAGGCCTAGGCGGGCAGATCACAAGGTCAGGAGATTGAGACCATCCTGGCTAACACGTGAAACCTCACCTCTACTAAAAGTACCAAAAAAATTAGCCAGGTGTGGTGGCGGGCGCCTGTAGTCCAAGCTACTGGGGAGACTGAGGCAGGAGAATGGCATGAACCTGGGAGGCGGAGCTTGCAGTGAGCTGAGATCACGCCGCTGCACTCCAGCCTGGGCAACAGAGTGAGACTGTCTCAAAAAAAAAAAAAAAAAAAGCTCTGCTTTTGGCTGGGCGTGGTGGCTCACACCTATAATCCCAGCACTTTGGGAGGCCGTGGTGGGTGGATCACGAGGTCAGGAGTTCAAGAACAGCCTGGCCAAAATGGTGAAACCTCGTCTCTACTAAAAACACAAAAAATTAGCCAGTCATGGTGGTGAGCACCTGTAATCCCAGCTACTCAGGTGGCTGAGGCAGAGAATTGCTTAAATTCGGGAGGCGGAGGTTGCATTGAGCCGAGATTGTGTCACTGCACTCCAGCCTGGGTGACAGAGTGAGACTCTTGTCTCGGAAAAAAAAAAAAAAGAACTCTGCTTTCAGAAACCTGGGAATTCTGCTTTGCTTGGTTATTGAGCCTATGGCCTTCAGTAAGTTTCTGAACCTCTCAGCTTCAGTACTGATCTGTTAACTTGGAAGTAATAATAGTAACCACCTAAGAATTGTTGCGAAGATTAAAGGAGGTCATCTGGTAAATGAGATAGAGAAGAATGATACCTGTAAACCACTTGGCACATGATAACAGAATTCCTATGGCCTCCCATCTAGTGCCTTGTCTATCATGTTAGGATGACTGGGACGGTTTGGAGTTTTAGGGACACCTCATTTGTGGGCATCCTTTTTCCCTTGGGCTCAGTGAGATTCCTGATTTTCTCCTCCTCTCTTACTTAGGATCCCAGGTATCCTGTAGAGAACTTGCTAAACCCAGATAATCCAAGGAGACCTTGGCTCAGCTGCCCTCAGGACAAGAGTGGGCAACTGAAAGTAGAACTACAGCTGGAGAGGGCAGTGCCCATTGGCTACATTGATGTGGGTGAGTTCTCTGTGGCCTAGGAACCTCTGAGGAAGAACACAGGAATGATAGTCCCCTCTAACTACTCCACTAGCGTGTCTCAGTTCATTCTGGCTGAGCTGCCTTTATGGAATAAGTTTTACCTGGGTGTCAAAGGGAAATGTGGCCCTTGCCCTTGGAGCAGATCTGTGTGGAGAACTCCAAGGGCTCTATTCACGTAGAATACAATGTGAATGGTGCTCCTCAAATTATGCAACATAACTACCATGCTTTGATCTTAGTGGTTTGGGTAAAACCTTAGGACACTGAGGTAATTATAAATCCCAGCCAGGCACAATGGCTCATGCCTGTAATCCCAACACTTTGGGAGGCCAAGGCGGGAGGATCCCTTGAACCCAGGAGTTTGAGATCAGCCTGGGCAACATGGCAAAATGCCGTCTCTACTAAAAGTTCAAAAATTAGCCAGGTGTGATCGTGCACACCTGTAGTCCCAGTTACATGAGAAGCTGAGGTAGAAGGATCATCTGAGCCCAGGAGGTTGAGGCTGCAGTGAGCTGTGATAATGCCACTGCACTCCAGCCTGGGCAACAGTGAGACCCTGTCTCACAAAAAATAAAAATAAATCACAACAAATAGAACCTGCATACACCTGTAAATATCAGTGTCAGGAGGATGCTGGAGAGATGAACTGTGCAAGGATAATCCAAGAAGGCTGAATAGGAGTTTATGGATTGAGAAGATTGACCTTAGAATTCTCTGGAATCTGGAACTGTCAAGTCCACTGGTCTGTTTCGTCAGGACAGAGAGATGTCAGGCTCCCTAGCAAGGAATTAAAAGAGACAGAATTTAGCGCTCTCTACCAGGGCCAGAGGACAGAGAAGCAACAAGTCTCTTTAATCAGGGGAAGGGTTCTGGCTGGAAGGAACATGGTGAATGTGTGACATTGGTATTTAGTGGACTGGAGTCTCATTCCACTCCAGTTACTGGCTCCCTGTGGGACTCCACATATCGATAAACCTTTCTGGCTTTCAACTAGCTGTGAAGTAGAGAAGTGACCTCCTTCCACCCTATTCCTTTGTCTTCAGATGTCTCATCCCTCTTAACCTTCTCTCAACCTTTTGTCCCCAGGTAACTGTGGCTGTGCATTCCTGCAAATTGATGTGGGCCGTTCTTCCTGGCCCCTGGACAGACCTTTCGTCACCCTGCTCCCTGCAACCATGCTAATGTCTCTAACTGATTCAAAGCAGGGGAAGAACCGCTCTGGGGTCCGCATGTTTAAAGATGGTAAAGAGGGCAAAAGCAGAAAAGATGGGGATGGTCTTTATGAGAAACAGAGATGCAGTACTAAAGAGGGCTGTGAGTGCTATTAGGTGTAGACTGTGAGAGGGAGCCTGTGCAGGGGCTTAGTTATATCTGTTGGGGGCAAAGGGTGGTTAAGGAGTGGTGTGCTTGTGTGTGAGATCTGTGTGCTGAGGATGCATGCTAGCTGGAGAGATGGAGATTTATGAACTATTTATATTTATACATAACTTGTGGTTCGGTAGGGCCCAATATATAGAACACACACACTTGTTGATTATTTTTGTGGCCGGATGCGGTGGCTCACGCCCGTAATCCCAGCACTTTCGGAGATCGGGGCGGGTGGATCATCTGAGGTCAGGAGTTCGAGACCAGCCTGGCCAACATGGTGAAATCCCATCTCTACTAAAAATACAAAAATTAGCCAGGCATGGTGGTAAGCGCCTGTAATCCCAGCTATTGAGGAGGCTGAGGCAGAAGAATTGCTTGAACCTGGGAGGCAAAGGTTGCAGTGAGCCGAGATTGTGCCATTGCACTCCAGCCTGGGCGAAAAGAATGAAACTCTGTCTCAAAAAATAATAACAATAATAAGTTTTTGTGGGTATAAATGTGGATGTAGGATAGATGTTTTTTGTTTTGTTTTGTTTTGTTTTGTTTTGAGACGGAGTCTCGCTCTGTCGCCCAGGCTGGAGTGCAGTGGCCGGATCTCAGCTCACTGCAAGCTCCGCCTCCCGGGTTCACGCCATTCTCCTGCCTCAGCCTCCCCAGTAGCTGGGACTACAGGCGCCCGCCACCACGCCCGGCTAGTTTTTTGTATTTTTTAGTAGAGACGGGGTTTCACCGTGTTAGCCAGGATGGTCTCGATCTCTCGACCTCGTGATCCGCCCGTCTCGGCCTCCCAAAGTGCTGGGATTACAGGCTTGAGCCACCGCGCCCGGCTTTGTTTTGTTTTTTTGAGACGGAGTCTCGCTGTGTCGCCCAGGCTGGAGTGCAGTGGCGTGATCTCGGCTCACTGCAAGCTCCGCCTTCCGGGTTCACGCCATTCTCCTGCCTCAGCCTCCCAAGTAGCTGGGACTACAGGCGCCCACCACCACGCCTGGCTTTTTTTTTGTATTTTTAGTAGAGACGGGGTTTCACCCTGTTAGCCAGGATGGTCTCGATCTCCTGACCTTGTGATCTGCCCGCCTCAGCCTCCCAGAGTGCTGGGATTACAAGTGTGAGCCACCGCGCCCAGCGGATAGATGTTTATGTAAGTGATGGAAGGCTACATAGTGGTTATATAGTATATAATGTTTACTGAATTCTGTTTATACAAATCTCTGTTCACTAGGCACTACAGAAAAAACATAAGATCTGATTCCTAGCCTCTAGGAATGTACAGTCTCATAAGGATTTGTCTGTTTTTAAGTTGGAAGTATTTGTAATGTTGTAAAGGAAGAGTGACATTGGAGGGGCATATGATTTGGAGGAAGTGAAGTACTGACTGGACAGTGTTAGGAACTAAAGATGTGGAGGGTTTGTGATATCGGAATGTGATACTGTGAGCATGTAGAGCACGTGGTGGTGTGAGGGAGGTTGAAGTCTTATGATCCAGGAAGGGTTGATATATATCTCAGGTAATCCACTGGGCCCTTACTCTGCAGGTAACTTCTTAAAATGAGATATTGATGAGGTCCCTGGAGAAGGAATAGAATTCATGCTGAGAATGGTGTGGAACTGTGACAGAGAAATGATGACGAGAAGGCAAGGGACTGGATATGAGAATGCCCTGACTGGCCTGCTTGGCATTACCATACCCTCAGCACCTGAGCCTAAGGGGACATTTACTGATGACCTCCTTCTTCCTTTTGTTGGAGGTTACTCTTTATAGCTCCTTTCCTTAGTATTAGACCTTTTCGTCCTCTTTTTCTCCCATTTATGTGTTTCCATTCCCCACTTATTTTCTTTCTCTTTTTCCCTTGAGTTGATTTCCTGGCTCCAGCCTCAGGAGAGTTATGGGATCGACTTCGCCTGACCTGCTCCCAACCCTTCACGCGTCATCAGTCCTTTGGCCTGGCCTTTCTACGGGTGCGTTCTTCTCTGGACTCCTTAGATGACTCTGTGTTGGGTCCCTCAGCCCTTGTGAGCTCTGTGCTGAACAAGGTATGTATGATGGTGGAGTGAGGATTTAATGTTTGCCCTTCCTTTGCAGGTTTCTGGTTAAGAAGCTGGTGCTTGTTTGAGGCATAGACACACCCACACATACACACACACACACAAATACAAGTATCAGTGGGCTTGATACCCTTTCTTACAGGTAAGAGTGAACTCCTCTCTCTCACACGAGGAATAAGGAAATGAGTGAGCCTTGGATACAGTATACACAAAACTTTTGGACCATTTGCTCTTTAGCCATAAATAAATTATTCTTGGATCCAAACTTAACTTCGTACTTTATTTCTAAGTTATTGGGTGACTGTAACTTTTATCAGACTTTTCCTTTGAGCACTGTAAGTCCCAAAGCTCCCGTGTAGTTTCTCTGTCATTATTCCCTTAAACAAAGTTATATCTTTACATGTGTGTTCTGCAGTTTCATTTGTTCCCCTGCTTTTCTCCCTGTACAACACAATATAGGCATACCTTGAAGATGTTCCAGATTTGGTTCCAGATCATGACAATAAAGCAAGTCACACACATTTTTTGGTTTTTCAGTGTATATAAGCCAACAATTATCTGAACCTTCAGCGAGTCTCATACTGTTGCCCAGGCTGGAGTGCAATGGTGCGATCTCGGCTCCCTGCAAGCTCCGCCTCCTGGGTTCATGCTACTCTCCTACCTCAGCCTCCCGAATGGCTGGGACTACAGGTGCCTGCCACCATGCCCGGCTAATTTTTTGTATTTTTAGTAGAGACAAGGTTTCACCATGTTAACCAGGATGGTTTCGATCTCCTGACCTCGTGATCCGCCTGCCTCGGCCTCCCAAAGTGCTGGGATTATACACGTGAGCCACCGCGCCCGGCCAGCGAGTCGTAATCTTTTTGCTAGTGGAGAATCTTGCCTCAGTGTTGATAGCTGCTGACAGATCAGGGTGGTTATTGCTGAAGGTTGGGCTGGCCATGGCAATTTTGTAAAATAAGACCGTTAAGTTTGCCACATCAATCTACTCTTCCTTTCATGAAAGAGTTCTCTGTAGCATGTGATACTGTTTGATAGCATTTTAACCACAGTACAACTTCTTTCAAAATTTGAGTCAATTCTCCCGAATCCAGCCACTGCTTTATCAACTAAGTTTATGTCATAGTCTAAATCTTTTTTTATCATTTCAATAATGTTCACAGCATCTTCACCAGGAGTAGATTTCATCTCAAGAAACCACTTTGCTCATCTATAAGAAGCAACTCCTCATCTGTTCAGGTTTTATCTTGAGATTGCAGTAATTCTGTCGCATCCTCATGTTCCATTTCTATTTCTAGTTCTCTTACTATTTCTTTTTTTTTTTTTTCTGAGACAAAGTCTCGCTCTGTTACCCAGGGCTGGAGTGCAATGGCATGATCTCGGCTCACTGCAACCTCTGCCTCCCGGATTCAAGCAATTCTCCCACCTCGGCCTCCAGAGTAGCTGGGATTACAGTCACACAGCACCACGCCTGGCTAATTTTTTGTGTTTTAGTAGAGATGGGTTTCACCATGTTGACCAGGCTAGTCTCAAACTCCTGGCCTCAAGTGATCCACCCGCCTCAGCCACCCAAAGTTCTGGGATTACAGGCGTGAGCCACCACGCCCGGCCTGCTTCTCATACTATTTTGTGTCGCATTTGCAGTTACTTCCTCCCTTGAAGTCTTGAAAGCCCACAAGAGGGTTGGAATCAACTTCTTCCAAACTCATGTTAATGTTGATATTTTGACCTCCTCCCATGAATCACCAGTATTCTTAATGGCATCCAAGATGGTGAATTATTTCCAGGAGGTTTTCATTTGCTTTCCTAGATCCATTAGAGGAATCACTATCTATATGACAGCTATAGCCTTACAGAATATATTTCTTAAATAGCAATGCTTGAAAGTTGAATTACTTCTTGATCTGTGGGCTGCAAAATGGATGTTATGTTAGTAGGCATGAAAACAACATTAAGGCCGGGCGCGGTGGCTCAAGCCTGTAATCCCAGCACTTTGGGAGGCTGAGACGGGCGGATCACGAGGTCAGGAGATCGAGACCATCCTGGCTAACACAGTGAAACCCCGTCTCTACTAAAAAATACAAAAAACTAGCCGGGCGAGTTGGCGGGCGCCTGTAGTCCCAGCTACTCGGGAGGCTGAGGCAGGAGAATGGCGTGAACCCGGGAGGCGGAGCTTGCAGTGAGCTGAGATCGCACCACTGCACTCCAGCCTGGGCGACAGACCGAGACTCCGTCTCAAAAAAAAAAAAAAAAAAAAAAAAAAGAAAACAACATTAAGCTCCTTGTTCATCTCCATCAGAGCTCTTGGCTTAGATGCATTACCAGTGAGCAGAAATGTTTTGAAAAGGAATCTTTCGTTCTGAGTACTAGATTTCAACAGTGGGTTTAAAATATTCAGGAAACCATGCTGTAAACCGATGTACTGTCATCTAGGCTTTGTTGTTCCATTTATGGAGCACAGGCAGAGTAGATTCAGCATAATTCTTAAGGGCCCTAGGATTTTTAGAATGGTAAATGAGCATTGGCTTCAACTTAAAGTCACCAGCTGCATTAGCCCTAAAGAGAGAGTTAGCTTGTCCTTTGAAGCCAGGCATTGACTTCTCTTCTCTGGCTATGAAAGTCCTAGGTGGCATCTTTTTTTTTTTTTTTTTTTCTTTTGAGACTGAGTCTTGCTCTGTGGCCCAGGCTGGAGTGCAGTGGTGCAATCTCGGCTCACCACAACCTCCACCTCCCAGGTTCAAGCAATTCTCCTGCCTCAGCCTCCCGAGTAGCTGGGACTATAGGCGCACACCACCACACCTGGCTAATTTTTGTATTAGTAGTAGAGATGGAGTTTCACCATATTGGCCAGGCTGGTCTCGAACTCCTGACCTTGTAATCCACCCGCCTCAGACTTCCAAAGTGCTGAGATTACAGGCATGAGCCACCACGCCTGCCCGGCATCTTCTTTCAATAGAAGACAGTTTCATTTACATTGAAAACCTGTTGTTTAGTGTAGCCACCTTCATCAGTGATCTTAGCTAGATCTTCTGGCTAACTTGCTATAGCTTGTCCATCAGCACTTGCTGCTTCGTCTTGCATTTTAATGTTAAGGAGATGGATTTTTCTTCCTTAAACTTCATGAACCAATCTCTGCTAGCTTCAGACTTCTCTTCTGCAGCTTCTTCACCTCTCTCAGCCTTCATAGAATTGAAGAGGGTTAGGGCCTTGCTCTGGATTAGGCTTGGGATAAGTGTGTATCATGGCTGATTTGATCTATCCATACTGTTAAAACTTTATCCACGTCAGCAATAAGGCTGTTTTGCTTTCTTATCATACATGTTTTCACTAGAGTAGCACTTTTAATTTTCTTCAAGAATTTTTTCAGCTGGATGTGGTGGCTCACGCCTATAATCCTAGCACTGTGTAAGACCAAAGCAGGCAGATCCCTTGAGCTCAGGAGTTCAAGACCAGCCTGGGCAACATGGCAAAACCCTGTCTCTACATAAAATACAAAAATTGACCGGGCCCAGTGGCTCATGCCTATAATCCTAGCACTTTGGGAGGCCGAGGCAGGTGGATTGCCTGAGCTCTGGAGTTCAAGACCAGTTTGGGCAATACGGTGAAATCACGTCTCTACTAAAATACAAAAAATTAGCCGAGTGTGGCGGCGTGCACCTGTTGTCCCGGCTACTTGGGAGGCTGAGGCAGGAGAATTGCTTGAACCCGGGAGGCAGAGGTTGCAGTGAGCCAAGATCGTGCCGCTGCACTCCAGCTTGTGCAACAGAGCGAGACTCCGTCTAAAAAAAAAAAAAATTATCTGGGCATGGTGGCACATGCCTGTAGTCCCAGCTACTTGGGAAGCCAAGGTGGGAGGATCACTTGAGCCTGGGAGGCAGAGGTTGCAGTGAGGTGAGATTGCACCACTGTACTCCAGCCTGGGTGACAGTGAGACCCTGTCTCAAAAAAAAGAATTTTTTCTTTGCATTTACCACTTGGCTAACTGTTTGCCACAGGAGGCCTAGCTTTCAGCCTACCTTAGCCTTTGCTATTCCTTTCTTACTAAAGCAGTCATCTCATCCCTCTTATCCTTCTCTCGTGGCTGTGCTTTCCTGCAGATTGATGTGGGCCGTTCTTCCTGGCCCCTGGACAGACCTTTCATCACCCTGCTCCCTGCAACCACAAAGTGAGAGACATGCCACTCTTCACTTCATTTGAATAGTTAGAGGCCATTTTAGGATTATTAAATGGTCTAATTTTGATGCTGTTGTATCTCAGGGAGTTGGGAAGCCTAAAGAGGGAGAGAGACAGGGGAATGACCAGTCAGTGGAGCACACATACAATGTTTATCAATTAAGTTTGCCATCTTAGGCTAGGCACAGTGTCTCATACCTGTAAGGCTGAGATGGGAGAATCATTTGAGGTCAGGTGTCTCTGAAAAAAAAAGACCTTGTCTCTTAAAAAAAAAAAAAAAGAAACAGGCATGGTGGCACACATCTGTAGTCCCAGCTACTTGAGACTGAGGCAGGAAGATCACCTGAAACCAGGAGTTTGAGGCTGCAGTGAGCTATGATTAGTGCAGCTGCATTCCTGCCTGGGTGACAGAGCGATACCCTGTCTCAAAACCAAAAAAAAGTTTACCATCTTATGTGAGCACAATTCGTGGCACCCCCAAAACAGTTACAATAGTAACATTAAAGATCACTGATCACAGATCACTGTAACAAATGTAGTAATCATGAGAAGGTTTGAAATGTGAGAAATACTGAAATGTGAGAATTACCAAAATGTGACGCAGCAACAGGAAGTGAGCACATACTGTTAGCAAAACGGTGCTGATAGACTTGCAGCGTTGTCACAAACCTGCCTTTTTTTTAAGCACACAGTATCTATGAAGCACAATAAAATGAAGTACGCCTGTACTCCTAAGATATATGGATTTCTAGCCCTGAGGTTATATCAATTTACTTCGATTTGCTCAACCAGGCTTCTAGTTTTTTTCTTAAGCC